TATGAGGCCAATGTGTTGAGACATGTGTTTCCCGCATTCCTTTTGTGTTACCGCTTGAGTGCCCTACCAACAATAGCAAGAAGTCGATATATACTAACCATGAAGTCTTGCATTCGAAGCTATTACAATCTTTGCCTGCTTCAAAATTAAGAAATAGAAGCTTCATATGGCTTTGCAAGTTTTGTAGAGCATAGATCGTTGATCACGTGAGGCCATATGGATCGAGGACGGTATTAATTAGTCAATGCATTTCATCTATTGTCCGTACGTACATAGTAGTATTTTTTTTAATTATCCTTATCCCTCGGTTTTATATAAATTAGTTAATTTGATATCTTTATGTAGTAAATTAATGATAATTTTATTGGAAAAAAAGAATTAAAAAATTATTTGATTTAAGTGAAACCACAAAGCAAAATTTACTTATAAACAATTTGTTTTTCAATTGTCATTCATTTGCTAAATAAATGTATTAAATCAAACTAAGTTACTAGGATAAGTTAGAAAAACAAAAACAAAAACAAGAGGGAGTAACAATGAATCACCTTCGCAAGCAAAGAATGAATTGTCTAATAGGGACCAGTTAGTGATGTTATGACCTCTAGGGGAGTGGTTCAATGATTAACAATTTGAGATTTTAAATTGAAAATTTCAAATTCGAACCTTAAATCGGTTGAGAGAAGGATTTAAGGAAAATGAATAATTACTCTCTCTTATATAACCTATTATCATCAGATGTACAAAAAAAAAAAAAGTTAGAGATGTTATGAATGAAGCATTTACATCCCATATTGAAAATATAGAAATGAGTGACTTGAAGGTACATTATAAAAGCGAACTCTGACACTTAAATAAGGCATACCTTTCTCGGCCTTTTGGCTAAGATCAAGTGTAGTATCTGTTCTTATCAGTTTAATATCTGATACGTGAATCATTGATTCACATGATATTAAATTAATTTTTTTAAGGGGAGGTTTCTCTATAGTAGCTTGCTACTGGGATCCTCAAGCGTCGCCCTTGTGCTGCACTATAGCAAAGGCTTGGCGCACCCCACCCCACCAATTCTTAGTTAAATATATTTGTAGGTTTTTTGTGTTTTTAGTTAAGGCCTGATGAATACGTTTGTAGCCCTCAAAATTTAGAACTCAACAAAATTTTATATTTATTAGGGATAGATCTTGTTGTTTGAATAAAATTAACAAAATATGGTATAACTGATTAATTAAGTGTTGTGGTCTTTCAATATATTGCAAAGATTACAAAATAAGAGGACCAGCCTAAAACCCTCACAAGATTTGTAGAGCCCACCTGCCGGGGAAATCCTCAGACTAAAAAAAACGAACTTTTTTTTTTTTTTTTTGTATCATTTTCACCCCTTTTCCGTTGATTCTATTAATTCTATTATTCTATATTATATTCCATTTTATATATTCTTTTTATGGTTTTCTAATTCTAAATTCTCTAGATTTCCGATTTATTTACTATTTATTTAAATTTTTTATTAGAAAGTTTTTTCTTAAATTGGATTTAGAAAAACTATTATAAAAATTTTTGTATAATAAAAATTTTGACTTTACATATAAGAGTAAAAAATACATTTCTATCTAGATAGAAATGTATTCTTTTTTTCAATTTCAAATTCCCAATAATAATGATACTTATTAGAATTCAAAGAATTAGGGATCGATCAATAGCGAAAGGTCCCATTTGCTGCAACATTCCTTAAAAAGAGGGTCCCTTGGACTAAGAAAGGGAAGGAAGAAAACGAGTCAATGGGCTACTTCCTCATCCTCAAATTAATCCTTCCTTTAGGTTATTATCCCAACAATGGCGTAAAAAAAGAAAGGGGTAAGCCCGAATCCATAAAAAAAGAAAAAATTAAGAAAACCATCTCCTATTTATAGGATTAAAAAGATTTACAGGATTAAACAAAAGGATTCGCAAATAAAAGTGCCAATTAATGCGATAACAGCCCATAAATTGTTAAAGCTTCCATAAAAGCCAAACTAAGCAATAAAACACCTCATATTTTTCCATCCGCCTGGGGTTGTCTCGCGATACTTTGTAGAAACTGAAGCTAAAGATTTGTTGAACCCCCCAACCGTAAGAGAAATCCCCAATAGGAAACTTCAACTAGATTTGTACAATCCATCATTTGGAGGAAAGCTCTCCATAAATTGGCTTTTTCCACTAAAAATGTGGCAATCACATGGTATTCTTTAGTAAAAGGTGAAAGAATAGTTCTCTTTGTGCTTTACCACATGGTTGCGTACTCATTAACAGTGTTGATGCCACATATCTTATGCTAGATCTTTGAAACTTCTGCGTTTATTCCTTACTCGGTATATGGGATTGAGTTCTTGGCCTCAATAGTTGGGAACAGGTACGATATCCTAATCATACATTGCAAAAGGCCTACCGTGTAAAAGACAAACCCATTATTTGTCCATAATAATGCAACAATTAATGGAACCATTAACATATTAATGTATTATCAAATTCTGCGAATGCCGATCCCCTACCACCACAAATTAGGCTAATTTTATTATATTTATGATGTCTTTCTCCCAATTTGATTTACGTTCATCTGTCAACTACAGTTTCACTGGCTTCAGAACACTGCTTTCCCATTTTGGCCAGCAATACGATGATCATTGCTAAGCAAACCCAAATGCAGAACATTGTCTCATAAATTTTAAATCTTAGACTTAAAATTGTAAAGGGGCCGCGCGAACGCAGGCCCCCACTACCACAAATTATGACGTAGGCTCTCCTACTTGAGGAGACCTTAGAAAAGTGCATCTTTGAAGTGCAATAAAAATCACTTTTCTAGGCCATGGGCCTCCATGATCAGCCATTGACCCCGTCCAGGTAAGTATGTTCTAATGTAGGATTAAGCTGATTTTTTATACTGTCATCTTTTTTTTTTGTTTTCCTCTTGCTCAATGTGGGACTACTGTGTCATCCAAACGAGAGCAAGTTCTTTTAAAGGTAATTCTTTTAATAAGTGTTCAAAAAAACCTTCAGCCTTCTCTCCTCAAAGTTTCTTTGCTCCTCCAAATTAAGCATATACTAATACAGCAGCTTTTAACTATAATTTGGAGATTATATAAAGATGGAAATGATTGAAGCTGTTGAGTGCAATTTCACCCATTTGACATGTTACATGTGGTGTTCTTGCCAGTTGGGCGCAAAATAACAGAAGCAGTTGCCAAGGATATTCTCTTTTCCAAATATTGCCCATAATAAAAAGTGATTGCATATTGAGAGAAGTATGATGATCATTGCTTTTACTAAAGCCAGCTCAAAGGTAAAGGACTACTTTGGAATGTTTATTTAAACTTTGACACTCAGCTTTGTTTGTGACCATTGGATTAAAATTAATTGTAATTCAAAATTTGATCCCAAGAGATCAGCTTTATCTGGAGTGGTTGTGGAAGGTCGTCATTTTGGAGGACAAAGTTATTTTTGTTGTTTTATTTATGCGACTTGGCATATTTATCACCTCATGTGGGAGAAGCTTGGGAAATTTTTGCAGCCATTCAATGAGCTTAATTTCCTTCATATTCATATATTGTTGTTGAGACTAATAATAGTAAGTCATTGGTTGATTTACTGCAAGAAGATACTCGTATATTTCATGGGCGAAAAGAACCATCATTGAAGAATTGTATTTGAGACTTGCTCTTCTCGTTTCTTTGTATGTCTTATTTTGTTGGAAAACCAACACAGTAGTTGTTCTTTCTATTGGGCACATAGACCCCATTATTTGTTAATATCCCTTTTAGTGAAGGATGTATATTGTACTTCAGCCTGTGTATATGATGGAATGAATAGCCTGCTTTTCTCAAAAAGAGTTCAGTTTTCACCTTTGTTATATGTAAACTTATATGATTGAAAAAAGGGCAACAACAAAACTCATATTTTTGAATTGGCATTTCAAAACAAATACAAAATTTATTAAGAAGACACTACAAGAAAAATGGTTTTTAGTGACAGAAATTTGTGATGAATTTTAAAATCATCATTATAACTAATCACAATTGTAACAGATCTAAAAAATTAGTCATAGATGCATATATATTTAATGAAAAACAAAAAAATTCATCATAAAAAATATATTTTATTATCGAAAAATGTTAATAGAGATAAAATAA